CAGTAAACTGCAAGGGCCTGCAATTAAAATAACATGAGAATATTGGAAGGGAAAAAAAGCTATAAAGTGAGTACTTTGACAAAGTGTGGTACTGTATGCCTAATGACTGAAGGGAGTTTTAGGCAATGCAACATTTTTTAAAATGAAATAACCTTCCTTTGTAAAAAAACCTAAAGAACCCTGCATAGAGAAAATTACTTTCTGACTCTGATGTGACACTGACATAGTATCTGTTACAAATGCTTATGTAACCTTCCATATATTTTTTTTTTTCTTCCAGAAATAAAAATGTCACTGACCACGAAGAACTGTAGTCATTCCAAGTCATCATGACTCCACTGAATCCACCAGGACTAGCAACAATGACCAGATGTTCACAACTTAAATGCCAATACCAAACTCCATTTTAACATTTTTGGTCTATATTCCCTTACAGTCTTTCTTGTTTATTTTTATAACCACTTCTTAACAATCTTAGAGTTTTGGGTTTTCTTAAATGAAGTTCTAGAGGGTATTATCTTCTTTTGCACAAATACTTGTATTTTTGAAACTGATTCTTAATTATATGAAAGTGAACAAAAAAAGTCTGGAAATCATTGTTCACTGGAGCAGGTGGTAATTGTGCAGGAAGGAGGGTCTTTACTAATTTAGATATAGTTTTTTTCAGATATTTCATGTGAAATCTCTTACTGGAGTAATTTACAGAATTTTTTTCAGATTATTCAGGTAAATATATGATATCACATAATGAAGTTTTTTATAAAAATAAAACATTTGCTAAAATTTGAAAAAATATATTTCTTTGGATAAATTTTATACTGGTATCTCTGTAACTCTTTCTTTTCCAAGGTTCTCTCTGCGGAGCAGAGATGGTGTGGCAGTCTGTAGAGGAGAAGGAGTTGCAGACAGATTTCTTCTGACTGAGCACTGTGTTCTTTTTGCACTTTGGTGCCAATGCTCAACTTTTTGCAGACTTTTTGCTGTCTGCAGCATTCCAGATAAGGAAAGAAGGAAGAACAAAATATCTTTCTCTTTTTCCAACAAGAGATGATCTAGGCAGCTTAAAACCGTAGTGCTTTTTTTTCTTACTGTGTCCCAATTTCAGTACTTTCATTATTTGGATACATGTGTAGAATGCTCGCTTGCTATTAAACCTCACTGTGTCTCCATGTTAGAACTGACATTTCTGTTACAGAGAAGGTATATATTTCACATGCTTCCTCTAATGGTTAATGCAGGTTTTTAGGCTACTGAATAAAAGATGTAAAATGAACTCCACTCATAAAGTAGTACGAGAGTTACCATCAGTTGAGACTGCCATGGGAAAAACCTGTTAATTATATTGGGGTTTATTTTTAATTTGTTCTTGCTGGGGGGTTGTTTGGGGTTTTTTTTGCTGTTGACGCTGTGTATAGTTAAAATGCCAAATTAGATTTATAGTAGCTTAAAGTTGTATTAAGTGATATTTTGCTTTCTGTAATTCTGTTATAAAATAAAGTTGTTTATTCTCTGTACGACTTTTGGCACTCAGACCTAAGCTTGGAGGATATTTGAATTGAGCAGATTACTTCTGAGAACTGCAATTCTAGAGGTCATAGAACCTTAAAAAAAAGGAATTAGTGCAAGTGGTCTGCAGGGATGCAGAAGAGTGGCACAATTGCCTGGTACTTAAGTACCAGTGTTTTCTAAACATCTTCCAATAAACTCCTGATTTCTGTAGTTAAAAGAAGAAATCTTCAGCTGCCAGAACAGAGGAGATTTGAACATCACACTGGAAGTTGAAATGCCCCTCAGTCCACAAGTGGTTCTGCTGAGTTCATTGAGATAGGACCTACTGTGGTTTTCAGATAACAAAACAAATCATAAAACTTCTCACTACGTTCTCCTTCACTTCTGAGCAGTGTATTTTTGGTGCTATTCTCAGTTTAGATGGCTGCCATCTGTCAGCACACTTGTGTAACAGAAGTTCTCGTTGGCTTTGGCTCTGCATGGTTTGGATAACATATGACAACAGTAACAGAAATGTTAATTTCTATATGTATGTAGTCGTTCTCAACTGCATCCACATTACCTGGAGAATTAGTAGGTAACAGTCTTACCTGCTTTCCTTCAAAACCAGAGGTATACTGCTTTTCAAAAAGGGGAAGAAAACCCCATCCAGCTTTATAACACTGCCACAACACTGGGTGAGTAGGGAGGTTGTCAAAGTGGCAAGTTTGGGATATGTAAATGTAGGTCAAAATGGACACACACACATTTAGAAGAATGTCTCAGTGGATTTTTCTTACAAAAGTGTATAGAAAAAGCTATATAAAAATCTTTAATGTATTTTTTATATGGTGTAGTATTAATTGTAGATCTCGTTTGGTGGGTAGACAGCATGATGTTTGAATTCATTGATTTTGGATTGGTCTGATTAGTTAGACAGTAGATCAATATTGGTTTAATTGCACTTGTATTTAATCCTTAAAACTGCAAATATGGTATTCTTGAAACAATATTATTTTCATTGAGATATGTCTTTCTTCAAATACTAATAGAACCTTTTGTCAATGAAAAATTAATAGTATTTTCAGGTCAGCATAGCTTGTGCATAGCTACCACTTGCATTGATTAAATATGTACTAATTAAACAGCCATTGTTGTGCAGAAAAACCTAAGCCCTAAGTGTGATCAGTCGTAAAAATAGGTTGATTTTAGTTACTCAAATTATCTGGAATATTGTGCAATTCTGAAGTCTCATTGTTACCTTTTTATATATAATATATCTACAGCAAAAACTGTAACATGCAAAAAAAAAAAAGAAATTGTTCTCAAGGCACTTCACAAAACAGCTTTATAATACATGGGCAATTTCAAATACAATTACAGTAATTAATTCTGCTTAAATACTTAGAACAGTGAGTCATGTGGGTCTTACAAAAAACACTTAATACATCTTCCTTTTTAATAATGATAACCTCAGGGTTCATAATGAACGTTGGACTTGTTCTACAGATTATTTCCCAGATAAAGCTTTTGTAAATGGCAGGTATGTAGCTCCAATGAAAAACTTTAAACAAAAGATTTATTGCTCAGAGCAATGAGGAACTATAGTATCAAGTGTTTCTTGAAGTGTTCTTCTATTTGACAGTCTAGCTGAATAGCAACTTTTAATTGGGCCACAGAAGACATCAAACAGATGGAATAAAATACTGACTACACCTTTGGAAGATTTGAAACTTTTGATTTTCAGGCTGCTCAGTTGTTTGGGGCTTTCACATTGTACTTGAAAAAAGATAGAGCAGTAATATTAATACAAATTACAAGCATTGGAAATGCTATGATAATTCATGTAGTGTTAAAATATTCTGTTTGGTTTGAGGCAAATCCTACCAGAGTTTTTGGAGGTAAGTCTATATGAATGTCTCTGCTGGGCCAGGCTAAGTGACTAACTCTTCCAGATCTCTGTCTCTGAAGCTACTGGTATCTGCTGGGCCAGGCTAAGTGACTAACTCTCCCAGATCTCTGAGGCTAGTGGTGTTTGCCTTGGGGTGTGTGTAACTGTGATTACTACATTAGAAAGTAGTGCTTTCCCAAATATTCTTCCAGCCTTGAGCGATTTTCAAATACTTGCTGGTGTATCAGTCTTTATTAGTATTTCTCTGCCTCTGGATTTTTAGCTAATTGCTTTTTAAAAATTCCTGGCAGGTATTTTAACCCTTCTGTGTGTCTTTTGAACCTGCCCCTGCTCTAGCATCCTTGGACAGCATCACTGCAGACTTTGGAATAGACACCTGTCAATCTTTCTCTTCAGTCATTTCCCAGCCAAAAGTGCTTTCTCAGTTCCTTATCACTTTACCATCTCTGTCAGTACCTTTCCAACTTAAATGTTGAGACTTGAAATTCTGTTCTGGGAAGCAAAGGGGAAGCAGTCCCAGGCAGGAAGGTTTTAAATGTGCTTACTGGTTGTAGATGGAGTACAGTCTAACTTCACATTGCTAGAGACAGGAAGAGAGAGGACTCTTCATTGACAGCAGTAATTGAAGACATGTGTTTAGAATGCTCACTTGCAATTACTCTCCATATATATTTAGCTAGTGCTTGTACAATTTATCTAGACAAAGGTTTTGTTCTATGGTGTCATTTAAATATGTATTGTCCCTTTTTGAAGGAGTTGTATGGGGTATTATGGTGTATTTCATGCTGGTAGCATGAAAACTTATTTCTTGACACTGTTCAGTAATGGAACTGAAAACGAGAAGGAAAAATTAGAATTTTCATTTGCATGTTACTACGTCGTGAGTGTCAGATCCTCCTACATGTTAGCAGTTACAGCTCAATAAGCAGTTCTGTCAAAGGCACAGAGTGTATGTATATAGTATTATTTTTGGTATCCATTACCACTATTTTACAATGAAGTGCTGTTTAAGAGTTGTTACCACTTGACATTTCAAATTTCCCCATTCTCAGACACACTGTGGAATTAACAAAACCAATTTTCATTCTGTATTTTTTACATGTGGTCCTGGCCAATCTTTTCTTGGGCAGTGAGAGAGTGAGTGTTTGCAATTCTGTATGTTAGAATTCCTTTAGCATCTGATCAATATCCCAGATCACTGCTTTAAGAAAGTAGCATCCTTCTTAAATGTAGAAAGTAAATTCTTTGCAGCAGCTGTCTCAACTTCCTTGCAAAAGATTGTGTTTCCATTTCCAAAAAATTGCCTCTTTACCTGTGCAATGTATTCTGTGTTATTTGTACAGATGTAAGCCAGTGTGATGAATTATGTCTTTTTTAGTTTGGGTAGTATTAAAGTGGGGGAGAGGGTGTAAGGGTACTTGCTGTTTAAATTCTTTTTTTCTCCACGGACTTTGATAAATTACAGTGTTTTTTTAAACCTGTGGTCATGGCCCTATTAGTATTTCTATAAAATGATTCCAAGGAGTTCTTAAAAGTCTGTGAGAACTGAAACTGTGCAAACCACACAATCTCAGAAAAGGCATTATCCACTCTCGCAGGATGAGTAATGACAAACAGCTTTAATGAAAGGTAAATGCAGACAGCAATCATTAGCAGACAGAGACAGTAAACACTGAGGACAGTAATGACAGTCACTTCTCATTCCTTGCCAGTTTGGGTTTAAACTTGAGAGTCAAAATCAGAGAAGCTAACAGCCAGTAGTACTTGCAAACAATTTGAGTTGCGTTGTTGTGGGCCATCTGCCACAGGCAATCTGAGATGCACTAAAAACTGTACAGCTACAGCTGCAGGGGAGCAGGGAGGAAGATTTTTTAAAAAAATGTATGTCAAGTGACACACAAAAAAGATAAAAGATAACTCCGTGCTTCTGCAGTTTTTTATTTGCAAAAGTCATCAATTTCTCCTTAAAGTAGCGTAAGAGCTGTTTTACAGAATACTGAGTAAATCTTTCCATGGTTTCAAAATTTTGGTCAACAGAGAGAAATCCTTTTGTTTCCTGCTACTGTTACATTTTGCTTCCAAATTCTGTGGAAAGGATACTTTACAAAGCCCACAATCTTTCCCGAAGTGTACAAGCTAATAAATGTCAGTTCCCCTTCAAAACCCTTTTCAATTTTCCCAGATGTCAGTGCTTGATATCAACTTGTTACTTATGCATGTGGATTTCATAAGGCTGCCTGCCTTGGCTGTGCCAGCTCTCTCAGGAGCTCATTATGTCCTTTCTCCTTGGTAGGCCAGGGAGGGGCTGGTGAGCAGGACCCTCCCCCCAAATCCCGGGTCACACAAGGGAACCAACGTAGGAGGCCACTTGCAAGAGCTCTGGATGGCAGCAGCTGTTTCATTAGGACAGCTCAGCACTGGCTTCCGCTCTCCAGTTTGTTTTCATGTGTGGTATTTATTTACAGCTGGTTCTTGTTAAACCTGCAGGCCTGAGTACTGGGTTTAAGCTTGCTTCCTGAGACGTGAAGCTCCCTTAAATGTCCTCGAGTTCCTGTATCTGTTCTCTTTTTGTCCAGATCTCCTGGGTTTCTTCCACTGGCCACGGTGATTCATGACGGTGTTCCTAGAATCTTGTGCCATGGCTATTTCCTCCTCAACTGAAACATAATCCAAACAACACAAATATTCCATAAGAATATGCTGATTTCTTATGGTGAGTTTTGATAAAGAAAAAGAGCTAGCTTACATTAATAAAAACTAATCTTGCTAAGGTGAAGGTGTCTAAAGAGCACACTGTTATTAGTTGGCTCATGATCCTAGAGGAAATCTGAGTGTGGGTCTGGGGCTGTTGGTATGCCCAGTGAAGCGCTAACACAGACTATTGACATCAGCAGAAATGCTCTGTTTTCATTTGCCTCTGCAGCTTTCAATCAGAATAAAACCCTTAAAGAGCAGCAGAGAGCATAGTTAGTTTATACTGGAAATTCATGTTCTGCTTTACAGAACTGTGACTGGGCTGTGAAAACCTTGATCTGGCCTGATTGTCCTGATGCTGCCTGTGGTACAGACAGACCAGAAAAATGCTTGCTGCCCACATAACTGGACATCTTCAGAACACAACTGTGCTGTTGTAGGCTTGGAGATTATTTGAAGAAGGATGGAGAAACAGAGAAAATAAAAAAAAAAACAACCCTATAAAATACTTGTCATTGCTAATTGTTCAGAAGAAATGTGGGCTGGTTTTGTTAGATAATTTCATTTTATTTATAAGGTATTTATATATTGATATTTTTAGGCAGAACTTCTCTCTCGCTTCACAGAGAAAAATTAAATTCTTATTTAACAACAAAGCAATCAGCCTTGATTTCAGTAACAAAAAAATTCTCTCCTTTTTTCTTCTTTTTTCTTTTTTCTTTTTTTTCAGTAAAAGAGATCTAGGAAAATAGGCAGCTGAAACCTGCAGAATTTCTGTTGTTTTGTAGGAGAGATAGCATTTGAAGGAGTCTGTTCTCAGGCTTATCTGTTTCTCTCACCTGATGGTCTTAAGCTAAAGCTGGCTCCACTTGCTTGTACAGGGAGAGCTGCTCAGGATGTTTTGTGTAAGTTGGCTGGAGGCCAAAACAGTAGGTTGGTCTCTGACAGTCTCAGCTCAAGAAAAAAGAAGATCTTGGAGACAGAGCTGGGAATGCAATGCCTGAAGTATTACATAGACAGGAATTCATCTCACATCCTCTTGAGAATCCCAGCCAGAACACCTGTGATCTGCAAACTAAAGTGTCTCCTTTCCTGAGGCGTTGAAAAGCCAGATGAGTCCCTTCAAGCATCCTTCTTGGTTTTGAAAGAGAGAAGCACAGCAGCAATATTCCTTTGGCAAATTAGTCTGCCAACTACCTCATTCACCTCTCTCTTACACCCTTGATTACTAATCTCAGAAAATTTATGAAACCATTGCTTGCTTAAACTCATTACAAATCCAAGGCTAAATTTTCTGTGCTGTAAGAGAAGCAGAATTTAACATCTGGTGCTGTAGATTATTTACAGACCTGCAGAAAGTGTGTCTAAGGAGGATATGAGTGCTGAGGAAAAAGGCAGGACAGTCTGTTTCAGCAGTTGATCATGCATCACAAATACAAATGTCTGTGGGGTTTTTTCAGATGGGTTCATCTGGCTTAATGAAAGTATTGTCTGAGCCCCAGCAAAATACCTGAACTGATGGGATCAATAGCCCACCTGTTTTTCCTGGCTTGCTTCATCCTAGCTGGAATAGAAAAGTGAGAGCATCACCATGTAACAGGGAGTTCAGTAGCAGCTCAGTATTACTTCATAATAACTAATGTCTGACTTTATATGGGCACAGAGCTCACGTAATTTACTGATAATTTACTGAAAGGGAAAATCCCTGCTTTTATCTGATGTCAAATGCAATAATGTCACTAGCTTTCATTTCAACCACTTTCAAGTAAGAAAAGTACTTTCCTATTACTTAGCCTTCCTATTTTCTTACAGATATTGAATTGCACAATGTTTTGGCATTGCACTGTTTTTTGTTGTTGTTTTATCAGCATGTGAAAAACCATCAGCACCTTACTCTAAGAATAATCTATAACCTAGGGCAGGGCTGGGTTGGGCGTGTGGAGCAGGCTTCCCTTGCAGATTAATTCAGCATCTGAAAGCACATCTTGAAGAGGAAATGTTCGAGTTTTAGCAGCCTGAAGGTAACTTGAGGTCTGTGCTCATATGCAAACACCTTTCCTCTGTTAAACCTTGGATCTAAATGCCTGGAGATGTTATACAAAACAGAAAGTTTGTTTATTTTACATTTCTGGCTGCATATGACCTTTCTTATGTTAAGTGGCCAAATTTTCATGATGGAGTAAAATCTGAGTGTACAAATTACAGTGTTTGGCTTGTGAGATTTCTAAGTGAGATTTCTTTCCTGGCCTTGCACTGGTGGGTAAACCCTTCTCCTGCTGGGCTGATGCACCCCAGGCCAGCTCGGTGTGAGGCCTCAGCTGATCTGCAGAGCCCTGTGGACAGGACTGGCTTGTCTGCCCCAGCCTGGCCTGCCAGAGCTGAAACCTGCAGTGGGAGAAACATTAGTGAAACATTCTGCCAGGCCATTTCTGGCTGCATATGACCTTTCTTATGTTAAGTGGCCAAATTTTCATGATGGAGTAAAATCTGAGTGTACAAATTACAGTGTTTGGCTTGTGAGATTTCTAAGTGAGATTTCTTTCCTGGCCTTGCACTGGTGGGTAAACCCTTCTCCTGCTGGGCTGATGCACCCCAGGCCAGCTCGGTGTGAGGCCTCAGCTGATCTGCAGAGCCCTGTGGACAGGACTGGCTTGTCTGCCCCAGTCTGGCCTGCCAGAGCTGAAACCTGCAGTGGGAGAAACATTCTGCCAGGTAGGGTTCTCACCAAGCTGTATCAAGGAGCATCTGCAGCTTACAGAGAAAACCTGGGATGTCCTCTTAGCTCTCCTGGCACTCCATATGGAGAAAATGTTCAAAAGACAGAAAATTTTAGCCCAGTGTCAGCAAGAGTGCTTTCAAAGAGCCACAGGATAGAGTGGTTGAGGCCTCGGATTTGAATGTGCCCCTAGGCTGGCACTGGCAGCTGGAGCCCTAAAGCAAGAGCATGTGGGGATCTGCTGCTGCAGCTGGGACCCGAATCTGGAGGACATGGAGATCATCCCATCAAGACTGGATGGTCTGAACTACAGAATGTTCCTGTCTAAAAGAAACTCCCTACTTCTACAAGGGTAGCCCAGTTGGGCCAGGTGAGCAGCCTTAATTCTCAGTACACAGATGTGTTAGAATCACTGCACATTTGCATTGGGATCAGGGTTTGTTTTTGTTTTACTCAGAAGATGGATTTTTGAAGTGAGTTTAAACTGATTTTAAAATAGAAAAGGCAACCTGGCAAATGTGCAGTTAGGTACAAAGTAAGAGCAGATGCGTACTTTTGAAAGGACACAGACACATACTCAAAGCCCAATTACTTATAGGGTGTTACTGCTGCTACCTGTCTCACTGAAGACTTGCACGGTGTAAGCACAGAAGAAAATTATCTGTACTTCAACTGCCTTTCTTTGTATTCTGGTTGCCCTGTCTATAGCGTAAAACAGTAAAATCTCCTATAGTATAGTATATAAAACTATTGTATTTTAAATGAGGGTCAATTCAAGTTCTAAACAAATACTGGTAGTGTTTTTCAAACAGAAAATGGTCTAAAACACAGTACAATTTTATAAAATTGTTTCTGATCATAGTTGTCTTCAGTTTAGTTAATGGTACAAGCCCAAGTTGCCTGTTGAATGTTGTCTCCCTCCCCAGTCTTTGTCCCCAAGTCCTGACTCACCTTCTCTTAGTTTGATCCTGAAGTAGACAATTAGCAGCAGCAGGAGTAATGTCACGGGCATAAAGATCCCAGCAAAGAGAACAGAAGCAGGTAGCTCCCTCACAAACACTGACAATACGTAACCTGCAGTCATTTTCCTCTCGGAAACTGTGCCAAGACAGATCTTTAAGGTTTCCAGGTTTGGACCTTATTTATTCTGCTTTCTTCCTTTTTTCCCTGATGGGCATTCTGCCCTTTGCTCAGGCCATTATCTCTTTTTGGACTTTGGTTTGTTTGTGTGCGTCTGTGATCCCAGTAGTGCTGGAGTTCACTCACAAAGTTACTCAACAACAAAGTTTAAAAGTATGTGTTGAAGTAACACAGAGCTTTGAAACCTTTGGATGTTGGGCTAGGCAGGGCTCAATATGTGAGGCTGCTGCTGCCTTTTGTGCAGTGTGGGTTCTGTCATCTGTTAACACTGTACAGGCCATTCTGAATAATAAGCACCTTCTTCTAGATAGGCACACGTGTGGTCTCAGCTCTGAAGAGTTTTCAGACCAAACCAGTGAGGCAAGGAGCTGTGGTGATGTGGTGCTAACAGCATTCTTTCCTAAGATCAGCTGCAGAGCAGTGAAACTCAGGAAGGTTTCTTTCTTAGTGAAGTTGAAAATGTACGATTTTTGGGGAGGCAGATGTGCCAGAGAATTCAAAAACCTTTTAAATGTTCAAGTAGTTCTGTTTTTCCCATCTGATCACCAGCCTATGGCAAAACTGTGCATTGATCTTCTTAATCAATTTTTTAAAGATGATTAGTCATTTTATAGTCCTCTACACCTTCAGATTTGTAATCATATTCTAAGCAGTTCTGTCCAAGCATCCAGAAAGACTGTACAAGGTTTGCTTCACTAATTGGGTAGGTGGGTAGGCTGGAACCAAGGGGAAATGCAGTAGATTTTTAGACTTTCAAGACAAAGAGGTATTTCTGTGTTCACCTTGTTTTCTTCACCTATTGTTTTCAAGAGGCAAACAACCTCACCTAAAAACCATTTGAAGTTTTTTGAACTGTAAGATATTTGAGGTACTGTAAGATATTTGATATCTTTTTAACAAGTGATGGACAATATAATGTTTAGAAAACAGCAGATAATTAACAAAACAAGGAGAATTCGTTGTTTTATTAATTACCTGCTGTTGTAACTGGTAAAAGAGCAAATGGAATGTGTCTTATTTCTTGCTTATCCTTGTTCAGCTTCAGCTTCGTTGTATCTTATTCTGCCTTTATCTACAAGATGTTTGACCTCATTCATGAAGTGCTTTATGATCTACTGATGAAAAGAATGGATTAAAAGCCAGATGGTGAAGATATTAATATTATTATAGACCCATCTGTTGCCAAATAATTCCTTCCTTGAATAGATACCTGTCAGCTGTGATCAATAAATTCCTTAGGCTTTTATTCTTTGTGCATGAAAAGTTAATTCTGTTTTTTTTAGACTATTGTGATTGTTATTGTTCGGTTTTGCAAAACAGTTGCAGTAATTGATGAACATGCTTCTGGCACATTTTTTAAATTCCTCCCTAACTGATGTCCTTATATAAAAATATCATGAGTAGTCAGAGAGCTCTTTGAATTCTGTGACTGAATTCCGAGCACTGTGACATTACAAAATGATCTGGGGGATACTTCTCTTTGGTACACCTGGTATGGACCATAATGACATTTATGGGCACTAAATACCTGCATTCAAGGGCAAAATACTTGGATGTTTTAAAATTGGGTTACTTTGTGTGCCTGTGACACAATTTCTTTCTGTCAAATACGAGTTAGGTGAGGTGAAGTAAGTAGATTGACTTGCTTGTCACACCCTGCCTCTGGTGGTTTCAGGCGCTTGGTGGATTGAAAGTGGTTAATTTTTGCTGAGGAAAAATAAGAAAATTCTCAACTCTCCACATTTGTACAACCTCCTTGTGAAATGGCAGCTGCCAGCGCTGGTCTCAGCAGTGAGGAACAAAACTTGGCTGGTGGCTGCTCAGTGCGGCTGACATGTAATGCAAGTTTCCATATTGAAGCAGGACAAATGCCGTGGAAAGGAGGTCAAATGCATTTTTGCCATGAAGGCAGTTGATTTCCTACCTGGGTAGGCTGGGATGGTTTGTGTAAAGGCAAGGGGAGCTCTGCTGCAGGGCAGGCAGTGGTGTTTGCAGCAGCAGCAGCAGCGATGCCTCGCGTGTCGTCTGCCACAGCCAGGGAAAACTGGGAAATATGGGCCAGGCATGGATTACCAACACAGGAACATACGGTTTCCTGGCTGCTCTGTGGAGCTTGGGTGTGTTTGGGAAAATAGATGGATTCACAGGCTTTGTGAACTTGCCACTGACTGTTCACCCACTGGAAAAACAGAACTGATTGCTTGTTACCCCTGGGACACTGCAGGGTGGGCCTGCCCAAAGTTTGCTTTATGGTTAACAGGGATTTCAGCCATTTCAAAGTTTGTCTCTTGGCTTGAATCAGAAACCTAATTTCCTGTGAGAAGGAATTTAAGGAACATTAATTTTACAGCCAATAAAACTCTTATTTCAGCTGTGTCATTTTGATTATTTGCAAGAAATGTGAACACAAATGAATTAACTCAAACTTCAAATGACTTTCTATTTTCCAAACTTGCCAACTAACACCAGAAATTACAAACATCACACCTACATTGTTGGAAGGAATTACTTTTACTGCTCATCTTTGTGTGTGTGCATTAAGGACACACATTTTCACACACATTCTTGTTGAATATTTCATTTCAATCACAGTTTCCAAAAGAAAATGTTCTCTTAAAATTTCTAGATGGCTTTAGTAGGGAATATAAAAAGGCAAAGAAGTACCTATTGGTGCTAAGGGGAAAGAGTAAGATGTGCCTGGGAAGACTGCACCATAATAAATAAAGAAAACCTGGTTATTGCAGGTGCTCAAGAGCCATGGCATAAGCCAAGATACTCAAGTTTTGTACAGGCAAATTGCCAACATGCACAGCAGATGATCTGGCAGAGCTGAGGTTGCTCTTTATTAGAGAAGACCCTGTAAAATTTGCTGTAAGACTGAAACTTTTTGTAAAAAAACCAATATTTCTGTCATTATGGTGGAAAGAGGAAGCAGGAGTTCGGTCCTGGCTCAGTAAGGACAGAGCCTTCCAGCACACACCAGTGGGTCAAAACTCTTGTTCCTCCCTGAAGCAGGGCTGGAACTGGCCCCAGAGGAGTGGATGTTCCCAGAAGCGTCCCTAGCCCAGGATGGGTGTTGGTAAGCTGGGTAAGGTTGTTGGTAAATTGATATGTTTGCACAGCTCCTAAAACATTTTGGATGAAAAAGGTCTTTAGTTCCTGGGGGTTTCAAGGCACAAGGTTTCCTGAAATGTATATTAAGGTTATTAAATTTAAGTGCTAAATGAGCATTTAGATCTATCTTTCTCCTGGATGTTCTGATAGAACATCAAAATTGTCTGTTCTCCTTTCCAACATAAATTCAATAAAGGTTATTAGATCGGGTAGTTTGATATCTTTATTACTACAGGCAATTTCATTTCCTCCCATGTCCTTCACAGAATCCAATAAATTGATTGAAGCTTGTTTTCCCAAAAAGCACTTAGCCTTTGTTTGAAAACATCAGGAGACAGAGAATCATCTGTCCCTCTCCATGATGTAAATGATGTAAAACACCCACTTCATGTCTGGTCTAGAGTTTTTCATGGCTCTGCTTTCAGCCACTTGTTCTGCCTGTGCCTTCCTCAGGGCATCAGGGAGTTTTGGGAGACCTGTTACTTTTCACGTGTGAAAGTACTTATGCCTTGAAGTATCATGTCTCAATCTCTTTCCTGTTAAGCTACCCATTCTGGTCTCTTAATTCCTTACAGCAAGAAATATGGGGGTTTCGCCCATGCACCAAACTTCCTTGCAGGTTTTCTGTTCTTTGTCTAATTTTTAAAGGTATCTTTTGAAATGTGGGCATGCTGACAATTGCAATCTCATAGCAGTGTCACCTGAGACACTCCTAGAGGTAAATTCATGTCTCTATTCTGACTTGCTAATCAGTTTTTCACTCACTGGGTGGGCTTGTGAGGCCCTGATTGCTAGAGCTTTTGGAGGCACTTGGATTACACACCTCCTCACTGTCTCAGTCCTTTTCAGGACTGTGGTTGCCCAGGGCAAGTTTTAGAGATGACCTTTTAAGCTTGTTTCTAGATGGAAAATTTTTGTCTGACAATGTTATAATGGGCTTATGTCATGATAAACCCAACAAATGATCCAGATCACACAGCCTAACTGCTTGTTACTTCTCCTTACTCCTTAGCATCAAGCCTTTGATTATCTGCATCTTTTAGAAATGATGATTTTGGAAAAATTTCTACCTGAGGGGTTTTTTTTTCGCCTCTCCTACTTTGCTGATTTTCTACTTTGTTGCATTTCTAATACAAGTATTTGTGTCTACATGGTGTAAACTGCTTTAAGTTATTGATCCAGCTGAAAAGCTGCATAAACTGTTTCTGGACTTTGATCCCTCAAAGTGTTAATGAGATTATTGTGAAACTGGATCCATTTTCTGGTTGAGTTTGGAGATGGCTTTGCTGCCAGATGTGTAACCACCACCTCACTGGGAGCACTGCAGTAGCTACCCTGTGGATATGACTTTTAAGACCCCTGCAGCAATTCCTAATTCATTACTTGTGTGCTCTATTCATATAGAAAAGTGATTACTTTTTAATGAGCACATCTTGTGCTATTGATTCAAGTGCCTTAGGACTTCTAGGTGTATTGAAGCTGTGGTTGACTTTATCAAAGCGACTTGTAATCTCGTTAACAAAGTAACATCTATTTTGTATAAACTATGCTAAGTAGCTTATTTATATTCTAATTTTATATCTCTTTGAACAATCTTTGCATTCTTCATGGCTTGTATTTAGTTTTTTTACCTATAACTAGGCCAGATCATTTGAGTGTTGGCATGAAAATAATGGGTTTCTAGGCTTCTCAATATTATGATTAAGATTTATGAAAAATTAGCTAAAGTGAAAAAAATGCCAAAGACCTTCTTGGCCAACTTCCAGGCCTCTTTCAGGCTTCTTGATTTTCAAAGTTCAGTACAGGTTATTTAAATTTTAGTTTTGTAGTTAATCACCTGTACAGGTGAATAGTAATCTACCTCTGCCCAGACATCTGGCAGTGGTACAAATGGATGAGGCTTTTCTTTGTGCACAAACCAAAATATTCATTGAGAGTAA